ATATGTATTCATATATATGAATATATATGGATATATACATATATACATATATATATATATATATATATATATAAGTGTGTGTGTGTTGTTGTGTATTGTGATACCTTTTGTTTCCGACTATTCCATGAGCAATCATATGCTAATTACAGCATGTATTTCTACTTCGGGATGTATGTTGGTTTGTAGTATATAATATGAACGTAAGTACTAACCTTCCATGACTTCCAATATATCGAGAGCGCAATATTCTTATCATATGTATACGCAGGCGAGTTCACTGGGTTGCCCGATACTTGGCGAAACCTGTTGGAGTCCTCGGGTATAACAAATGAAGAGCGTGCAGAGAACCCTCAGGCCGTCATCGACGCCTTGGACTACTTCACAGGTGCGTGTGTATGCGTATATGTGTATTGTAGTCGTATATGTATATCATAGTCGTATTCGTATTGTATAGTCGTGTACGTATTGTATAGTCGTATACGCATTTAATACTTAATCTCATACGTATGCCGGATAAGTACGTATTCCTGGTTAGAACTGGGCGTATAAGTTTATACTACCGGTGCTTTATTGGGTTACGTGAATGGTTGTGATTCCACGCGTCTGAATATTTGAAGTGTGCATCCTGGGATTGATTGTGAGGGCTGTCTTCTTATTCACACGTGCATGTGTACACGTATACTATATCCGTTTTTCTTCTTCTTATTCAGACGTGCATGTGTACAAGTGTACTGTATCCGTTTTTTCTTCTTATTCAGACGTCCATGTGTACATGTATACTATATCCATTTGTTTGTGTGTGGGAAATACACCTGCAAACATAAAAGGTTATTTAGCAGATATCGTTATCATACAAACCATCACCTACGACAGATTTACCCCAAGGTGAAACTCGACCTAGAATGTGATTTCAGGGTCTATGGTTTAGTATAGTATACTCTAGAATCGAGTGTAACAGGTGTGGTCGTGTGCTAGCATCTACTACGAATCACCAGGCTTATATACCTGCCTTAATGATGGGTAAGTACTTGCGAACAGTGACCGGTGCAGGCGGATTGTAGTCAGGTGGTATCGGGAGGGTTACTCTAAAGACGGATACCGTACAGCACGTCTGACTACTACATTATCTTGGACTAAGAGTTTGGTGTCTTATGTTGGGTCGGGAGCTTGGTATTCTATTCAAGATACAGATGCTCGGTCCTTCAATGTGCGTATCGTGTGGGTGTCAGTTCATCTGCATGCTCGATGTACCTACCCGCACTCCTTGGTTTACTATGCGCAGGCAATAAGATCAACGATATGGTGGGGCCTAAATATATGATGGACGATCAAAACGAGGAAAGCTTCGAACAGAACGCACCGCTGCCGCAGCCACACCCGCCCAAACCCGCGGCCGTAAGTCCGCTTGTGCACTTTATTTGCGCTTCATATTACACGCAGCATTACTTTCTCATGTGTTGTTACCACATAATACTGTTTTGTTACTTGTACACTTCGTTTGAACTACATATCGCACACAGCATTACTTTCTCATGTGTCGTTACTACATAATACTGTTTTAGTTGAGAACACCAACGTAGATGCTGGGTGCTGATTCGGAATGCGTTTTGAACTTCATCGTGCACAGCACACATAGCCCATGCTCGTCTGCACAAATTCAACACGCTAATTCGTAGTTCACATTAAACAGTCCCTGTATACCAGAAGCACATGCCCGTGAGTGCCTCACACTTCCAATTAGTATAATTAATGTGGGATTAATGTGAACTGTACACCAACACACTAAACCTACGCACTATTTTATAATTCACATTAAACAACCCCATGTGCACAAGAAACCCATGCCCGTGATTGCCTCACACTTCCAATCAGTACAATTAATGTGGACAGTACACCAACACACTAAACCTACGCACTAGTTTAAAATTCACATTAATTAACCCCAGGTGCACAAAAGAAGCCCATGCCCGTGATTGCCTCACACTTTCAATCAGTACAATTAGTCTGGACAGTACACCAACATACTAAACCTATGCACTAGTTTATAATTCACATTAAACAACCCCGTGTGCACAAAAATCCCGCCTATGCCTGTGATTTTGCCATACCTCTAATTAGTCTGAATAGGACACCAACACACTAATCTAACACACTATTCCGAAATTCACCTTAAACAGCCTCCTGTGCACAAAAAGCCCATACCCGTGATTGCCCCTCGACCGGCCGAAACAATGAATAGAATGACGCGGGATCTGAGTAATATCGAGATCAGAGCCAACCAAGATAAGGTACACGGATACTAAATTTTTGTATATATCTATTTGTGTGCAGTTGTAGGCTATCTGTGCTAGTTTAGGATACTAGGTCTTCTATTATAACTCTTTGTGTGCAGTTCCACGCTATCTGTGCTAGTTGAGGACACTAAATCTTTTGATATGTGTATTTGGGTGTAGTTGCACGCTATCTGTGCTAGTTGAGGATACTAGATCTTTTGATATATGTATTTGGGTGTAGTTGCACGCTATCTGTGCTAGTTGAGGGTACTAGATCTTTTGATATATGTATTTAGGTGTAGCTGCACGCTATCTGTGCTAGTTGAGGATACTAGATCATTTATTATATGTATTTGTGTGCAGTTTCACGCTATCTGTGCTAGTTTAGTCCACAGTGCCTGTAGAGGCTTAGCGTTCTTTTTCTAAAAAAATCGGTGTCATGCACCCATAACATGTCCTGCCTCCAGTATAGGCCGTGTTAAAACAACTATGAGATCTAACCTATGCGATTCTAACGGGTGAGGATGGCGAAATACGCTTCTATAAATAGTTCCTAACAGTGTTACCAGTGTTACCAGGCCGGTTGGTACTGAGCTGTGCGAGCGTACCACGTGTTGTTGTATACGGTTGGCCTAACGCATTGGTGGCATGAGAATGTTAGTGGCCATGTAGTCGACTGGGGCAATCTTGTTGAGGGATTGTCGTATAATGTGCTCATGGTACACTTTCGCGTACAAACCTGTGTGTATGTATGTGTTTATGGGGTGTACATGGATGTTACGTACTATAACTGCATGTCCGTGTGAGCAGAATTAGTATATATGGGGTGTACAAGGATGTTACGTACTACAACGGCATGTCTGTGTGAGCAGAATTAGTATTTATGGGGTGTACAAGGATGTTACGTACTACAAATGCATGTCTGTGTGAGCAGAATTAGTATTTATGGGGTGTACAAGGATGTTACGTACTACAAATGCTAGTTACTTCAGGCAAAGTAACTGTGCAGGTGATTACTACACCGATCATCAGAACAAACACATACCCTTACGTGCACAGGCCTATCTACCATTCAAGTTCAGTACATGCAATAGCACGTGTAAACCATATATGTATACATGTACTTCTGAACCCAAGTCAAACTCAGCACCCGAATGCTCACGCGATACCATCTGCATCCCCACCTCACTCACCACACAGGTGGGTATCGCAAAGAAGAAGCCACCTCCCCCCAAGAACAGCACAAGCACGGCCCCTAAGCAGAGGCGTAAGAAGATGAGCGATGAAGAGGTCATGACTAGAATCAGAGCCATAGTAGAGGACGCGAACCCCAAAGAACTATACACCAATTTCAACAAGATCGGACAGGTATGTGTGTATATGTATGTGTGTGTATATGTATGTGTGTAGGATGGTGGGTATTTATGTGTGTAAATGTATGTGTGTGTAGGGTGGTGGGGATGTATGTCTGTAAATGTATGTGTGTGTAGGGTGGTGGGGTATGTATATGTGTATATGTATGTGTGTGTAGGGTGGTGGGGTATGAGAGTTGTGTGATATGTATGTATGCTTCGCAAGAAAACAAGCGATGAAGTGGACCTGACTGGAGTCAACGTCTTAGTCAAGAGACACCAAACCACAACAAAGCACTCTACAACTATACACCAACGTCCAATCAGATTAGATCGGTATTTGTGTATGTGTGCGAGTGTGTGTGTGTTTGTGCGTGTGTTGGGGGGGGTATTTGTGTATGTGTGCGCGTGTGTGTGTCTGTGTTTTTGTGTGTGTGTGTGAGGGGGGGTTTGGATGGTACACATTGTCCGTATCCAATTGTTAGTACCGTGCTGGGGTATGTTCACCGCTGCTCTTGTATATACGTTCTTGTATGTAAGTTCTTGTATATACGTTTCATATCTTCATATCCTGCGTACATGCCTTGGCATTTATATCATCTCGTTTGTTTGGCTCTGGCTCTGGTTCCCAAACTGTCTCTGTCACTCTTCACCAATTTATACGTCATCTGGGGTTTCTATACATGCGCACACTACCGTCCTGGGTCGTACTCCTCTGGATGTACTGTCGTTCATCCTTTAAAAGGAGCCAATTAAATTCCGTGCCTAATAAACCACATCTCGAAAGTTATTTATTATTCAACCGTTCAAACGAGCCAATTAAATCCGTGCCTAATATCCCGTATCTATAGATGCATTAGTTCTTTAACCGTTAAAACCAGCCAATCAAATTCGTGCCTTTCACCCCACTTCTCAAGATGCACGAGTACTCCACCCTTTAAAACCAGCCAATTCAATACACACCTTTTACCCCACACCTACCCAGGGAGCGTCCGGCACCGTCTTCACGGCCGTGGAGATCGCCACAGGCCGTGTGGTGGCCATCAAACAGATGAATCTCGCAGCACAGCCCAAGAAGGAGCTGATTGTGAACGAGATAGTAGTCATGCGCGAGAACAAGCATCTCAATGTGGTTAACTACGTGACCTCGTATCTGATTGAAGGGGATTTGTGGGTGGTGATGGAGTTCCTGGGGGGTGGGTCGCTGACAAATGTGGTGGTCAACACCGAGATGACTGAGGCTCAGGTACGATAAGACGTGGCGACGGGTGGTGTGTGGGTATGGTGGCATGTACTTGTGTGGGTATCTATACATGTGTGTAAGTGTGAGGGGTGTTTGTGTATGTGCGTGTGGATATGGTGGCATGTACTTGTGTGGGTATCTATGTGGGGGGTGTTTGTGTATGTGCGTGTGTGTATGGTGGCATGTACTTGTGTGGTATCTATCTATACATGCCTGTCAGTATGGGGGGTGTTTGTGTATATACCCAGGCGTGCCCATGTCCAGCACCTCCATCACTGTTACCAAGTACTGCTTATGTATTGTGTGCCTGAGCCAGACCTTGCCTATCTGAACCCCATTCGTCTCCTTCGCAGATTGCCGCGGTGTGTCGAGAGGTGCTGCAAGCTCTGGAGTTCTTACACCAATCCCGCGTCATCCACAGAGACATTAAATCAGATAATGTGCTGTTAGGACTAGAGGGTGATGTCAAGCTGACGGATTTCGGTTTCTGTGCACAGCTTACGAGGTGAGTGGGGTTTTAATGTTCAAACCATAAACGTAGTTAGTTCTGTGTGCAGCTCGGTGTGCGGATGGCGTATTTTGGATCATGTCTGGTGCCGTAGAACATCAAGGGTCAGAAATGAAACGCGTGTAAATGTCACGATAGTGGTATACACTATATCTATATATATATATATATATATATATATATATATATATATATATATATAATATAACTATATACATATATATATATATTAATATATATATATATATATAT